TATAAATACTTTCAACCTACTTTCTAAACTCTTCAGTTCTGTTTGTATAATTGCTTTCCTCAAAGCCTTGTCTAATGCTTCACTGCCCTCAGTATAACCTCCAGGGACAGGTACATTTATATTTTAAAAAGAGGTAAGCAGGCTTTCAAGTGACTTAAGTAGAAAAGGTAATTACTGAGAGTGCAGGCTGAACTGTCTTTACCAAATGTCACTTGTCTGAGTCTGAGTCATCATATAACTAGTTTATTATGACCAGGATTCACTAAGAAGCAGCACACCACAGATTGAGTGCAATGGGAGTAGAGCTGGAATAAGTGGCCCAGAACCATCATGGGTTTTTGTGTAACAGCAACATCTACAGGCTTGCATTTCTGTCAGTGAAAGATACCCTGATCCTCCAGTTGACATCTTTCGGGCACAAAGAAAAGTATCCAGGTATCTCATATTGTCACATGCAGATATTTGATAATTTCAAAGTGTGGAGTACAAAATAAAAATATACTGATGAAAATGCACAATGAAAATGCAACAGACAACATTTTAAAGTTTTATACCCACAGATCATTGAACACATACTGTACTGTAGATAAGGTTATTTACATGTTACATAATTAATGCAGGTAGGTTAGTTTTTGTTTTGGAATTACAAAAAAAGAATGATTGAGTCACGTGATTTCCTAAAAACCCCAAGTGCTCTTCAATGTTTAATATCTGGGTTTCTGTTTTGTCTCTCTCCTCCCTCCTATTCTCCATTTGGCTGTCCCCCCAGGAACCCCTGCCCCATGAGTGCAAGCACATGTAATCTGTCAGCACTAGATCCAGACATCTTCATTCATACCTAGCGTCCATGGCCTAGGACACATGTGCCAAACTCATGGCCCGCGGACCACATTCGGCCCACCATCCGTTTTAATCCGGCCCTTGCAAGACTTCTTTCGGTCTACTGTATGAGTTCCAGCAGGAACTCCAATTCCCACGAGTCCTCGGCTCCAATCGCATCATGCAACAACTGAGTATTAACGTCCTCCCCTCCCCTCTGGACTAAAACGAATTAGATTGGCTACGTTTACACAGATATCACCATGAATCTAGTAGTAGAAAAAACGTCATCTTGCTAGTAACACGTAACTGTGGTCAAGGCAAGTTTTATCACGGCTGAAGAAACAGCTAAATCAGGGAGACCATTCTGTGAGGGCAATTTTCTAAAGCGGTGCCTGTTAAAAGTCAGTAAAGTAGTGTGTCCAGAGCCAGGGTCTGCTTTTGCAAACATCAGTCTCACTAGAAATACTCGAGTGGACGAGATTGCTAACGATCTACAAGAGCAGCTTTCAGAGAAAGCGATCACATTTATTGCATATTCACTTGCCGTTCATTGCCGACTAGGATTTCATGCCCAGATTAGACTTGCATCAAAGAAAAGAGGTTTCTGGCTTGGCAAAGCAACAGTAGGCTAACAGTTTGTGATGTAGACCTGTCCTTATTTGTGTTTGTTTTCATTTCAATTCATGTATTTATTTCAATTTCCTTTGTGTATAACGGTATTGTGGAATTTTGCACTATACTAAACGTGCTAATATATTGATAATATTTTTGCGCTCTCGGGTTCACGTGGGTATGCACCCTCGCTGCTGCCGCCTCAGGTCAGCCCCCCCACCGCTGGGGACTCGAACCCGGGCCTTGGGCGTCACTCAACAGGGACCCAGCCAGCTGAGTTAAAGGGAAATCTCCTGACAGCCCGCTGGCTGCAGTCCCTGCTATTCACAGGGAAGGGCGGTGACGTCACCGTGCTGGTAAGCCGGCTCGCACAACCAGTAATGTCGGCCGTATGCAATACAGTATCATTGGCAACATAAAAATTTTATTAACTCGACGGAGAATATTTTTGTCATTTAAGTGTCACTTTAAACATTTAGAGAGCTCTCTTGTAAATACCAAATTGTAGCAGCAAAATATGAATAAAAAAAAACTATACAAAGAGCCATTGCAATATTTTTCTAGGTTCAGTTCTTTTAGTACTTCTTAATTACAAAAAAAAAAACTTCTCACTAGAATAAAGCCTGCAAATCCCTTGGGAAACTGTACTACAGAGTTCAGCAACAGTCTATTGAAGTTAAGGGAAGTATGGATGCAATTAATCAAAAAAGCCCTACAATACCCTTGTCTATGTTTTATGCAGCTGTTTTCGATCTGAATGCTCAGCTTTGAGGTCCTGGTACAGGTTATTGGTAACTGACAGCCATACTACTTGGTTGTCACATTAATAAATACTTTTGTGTCATCAGTGGCTAAAATTTGTATTTAAAAACCAAATGAATCTATTTACGTATACAGAACTGAATCACAAATCTTTGCAAATCTTTGCAAAAAAATATTAAACTAAAAGGGAAAAAACACTTTGAATGGCAATTCACTTTTCAAAGGCTTAAAGGGTGTATCACATTCTCTACATAGTGGTGAGATTATTAATTTATTGCCACACAAGTACTTTGCAAATAGTGATGCATTTTATTGGCTTTTTATTTGTGTTTTGGATAGAAAATGGAACCTCAGAGCTACAATGACCATATCTGAGAAAAAAACGATGTTACAAACTGCTAAAATGAGGAGGATGCACACTCTCTACATTCTAATGGAAAGAGACCAAAGCATTGGTGCACAAATGCACTCTGGACGGCCATAAGACTTCTGAGCCATTTTTTAATTGATCTAATTCATTTTATGATTGGACAAGTTGAAGCTTGTTCTTAACAATCTGGAGATTTAAAGAGATCTCTATAAAACCTGCTTAATCAGCAGCCATTAAGGATCAGATGTACAGTACCACACCCCTAACCTACAGAGAATCAATGGTGAGATTCTAATGGTGAATAATGGTCCGAAGAGCTGTGAAGCAGCAATACCAACTGCCACATCACAGTGCCTGTCGAATATTATCTTCATATTACATTTGGTTAATAGAAATCTTTTAGTCATTGCGGAAATTCTAAAAGTCACACCTAGTTTAGTTTGGCTCTGCTTTTTCCACACAGACAAAATAACTCTTACCTGAATTCCATAGTTATTCACACCTGTAGTTGTACTTGTACAAAAACAAAGCACACTCTTTGGAAGAAAGGTATACAGTATTTGAGAAAGAAAAAGTGAAACAAAATCTCCTTACATTTGTGTTTCTTAGAGACCTTGAACAATATTGGTTACTCCGCTACAAAAATAAATTGGTTATTCTTTCGAACTGAAGTACTTTAGTTTTCTTTTTTTCCTTAAATCATAAAAAAATATATTGCTAAGAATATTCGGAGAGCTGGGTGCTAATTAAGAGGAGCTTCCAGCAGGATCAACACTGGGAAATGAACTTGCATCATTAAGAAGCATTTCTCATTTCTTGTCTATGAACTGTTGCAGAAAATCTACAGTATACTGAGAATGTATTTTGGGTTGTTTTTCAGACTGGGACAAACAGAAATAATTTTCCTTATGGGCATATGGAAATGTTTTTGAAGGAAAGCAACATTAAATCCTCTGGGAACAGTATGTGATTTGCTGTGTAATTTAATTTCAAGATAATCGGCTTTCATAGACTTAAGCTATTCAAAATGCAATACCACACACACACACCTTAACATCTCAAGGCTTAGACTCTTAGTCAGAAGATATATAACCAGTTTAAGCCAATTGTAATAAAAGCCATTTAAACTGGATCACTGTTAAGGGGAGCAATACATCTTTTCTTAGAAACTTCAATGTTGGAGAGCAGGGTTGTTTGTTATGAAGAGTATGCAATTTAAGCTTGGAAGCACTATACATGCTTTCAGAAACAATTACTTAAAACCTGAAAGAAAATTGCACTGACATTACCATGATTTATTAAATTCCTTAGTCTGTTTCCTTTACATGAAAATATTTTAGCATGAAATATAGTTCCATCTCAAACAGAGCTCTACAATGATTAAGCTTGCTTGAAATTATGTTTCTATTACAGATGATAGTTGTGGACTGGAGGTATTTATTCCCCTGGGTCGCTGACACAGGCGGTAATAATGCTGAATTGTACAGGATGGGAGAAACTGTTGAAGAATTTTAAACCCTGTTCTTGGGAAACCTTTCTTCATGGCAGTTTCAGGCAGTGTAATGACAATTTTGTCAAATTCTAAAATGAAATCAGATTGTGATTATGGGGTAGAACGGATTAAAAGAGCCTTTGGTGTCATTTGGCAGTTGTAGTAATGATCCACTCTCAAAGACAAAATACCACCACTGCAAACATTTTTAACCTGTCATGTTTCAAGTTTCCTGTTGTGGTAATAAGGGCAGTAATAAAGAAAAAGGATTCTGATTGTTTTATTAATAAAATAAGAGTCAGTATTATTACCCATATTGTGGTCTAGCTTTTTACCATAGGTAAAGCTCAATTTTAATTGCGTGGGAATGCAGGAGTTAACATCTAGGTAATCAAAATTACCCTGTTAAGAATCAATTCAAATTGTTTTTGGTCCAGTAGTCCATGACTGTTGTTCAATGAGAAAATTAAAAAGTAATTAAAATTTAATTGGATCCAGATTAATTAAATTTGGTGTTCTCTCAAGCACTCAATGAAGAGAATCCTATTTACAAAATTAGAAAGTAATTAATAATTCTAACATTATCTCTAAAGATGCTAAAACCTGAAATTGTTAAAAGGTTAAGAGCTTGTTTATTTAAGTCGGCCAATGCAGGGAACAGCCATGATTTAGAGACACAAATTAACCTAGCCAGCATGTCATTGAAATGTTGCAAGAAACCAAAACAACCAGTAAAAAGCCATAAAACACAAATAAAACACCTTGCAAGCTCCATACAGAAGATTCCCCAGCTCATAATCAATCCCAGGGCCGAAGAGCTGGGAGACAGCATACCTAACTGCAATGTCACCCTGCCTTATACAGTATTTTGTTTTCTTTCAAATATTAATAACAGAAGTCTTGTTTTTTTTTTTTTAACTGAAAATTCACATCACAGTGGATGTGGTTTCTGAAGACAAAGAGGTTTTGTCTGGCAGGAAAACCATTAGCACTGTCCATGAGTCTCCATTATTTACAAGCTCTCTGAAAAAGGTATGTGTCTCTAGGGCCCCAGTGGGTTTTCTCTTTCTATTTCAATGACTGGTTCAAAATGGCTGGTTGAATCTAATGGAAAGAAAAATTTCTAGAATAAGCTTTTGTGATCAATGAGTGCATAAACTGCAAGTAAGTTCATATAAAATATTTAAGTTATATGTCACAAACATTATATCATTAAATAAGTGTATATTGTATAATGCTGCACACATGCAGGTCAATCCTTAATGAAAGTACTCTTTTTTGTACTGATAATTAAAAATATGTGCATTCTTTTATGCAGATATACTGTAGTATGCTATGAAACTGACATTCATAGCCTAGATAGTAATGACTCCTCATGTTTTTGAATATGTGATTGAATTGAAGTGTCTCAAACCAGGTCTGTTTAATGAAGCAGAGAACCATCAAATGAGATCTCATTAGCTAAGAAGCTACAACATATCATAAATTTAGAAACAATCAACAAAAGGAAAGCAAGAAGCTGGAAAAATGGGAAAAACTGCAGCATTTTGAAAAGTCAGAATCTAACAGTTTTATATAGTTTTCTTTAAACTTTCTGGTTACCAACTAAAAACAGCACTGGAACACTTTGAATGAAAAGTACTGTATGAACACTGATCTTTAAGATAGTTTTAATGTTATCTTCTCCTGAAGATGTAACGCAAAGGCTATGTAATTAATTATTTGCCAAGCAATATTCTTATAAATAAAGTTAAGTTTACTATTATCATAGTTTCAATTTTCTTATTTTTGTCAGACCTATAGTGTTTTTAGGATTAATAGGGCTGTAAGATTTTGCTTGTTTATTTTATGACCATCTGCAAAATACCCTAAAAGTGGAGGAACCCCAGCATCTCCAGGTTATGGGAATAATTTTCCTGGTTCAATTACTTTAGGGAAATTTAATACCTCATGGTCATGCTTTTACACAAGGGCTTCATGTGTTATGATACTGTATTTACAATAATAACCAAGCTTTTGTTCTATGACTAAGAGTTAAGTTTTTATTGAGCTTCATTGTGTGCAGCTTTACATTTGTTCATGATTACTGTGGTAATTACAATTACTGTGTAACTGAGTAGACTAACTCTGCAATCTTTTTTTTTTCTTTTTGTCTTAAAGAGATACCATTATAGCACCTGCGATTGCGATGAGGAACACATATAAAAGCCATGTGAAATGTGTCAGTTTTTCCTTGGGCTTATCAGCCTGAGTCAGTGTATTCAGTGCATGTTCTCCAAAGCGCCTCACAGAATCTGCAGTGATGGACAACTGTATCTAACCAGGTACATCAGGTTCCAAATAAGACATGCCTTCTGAATAGACAGAAGACAGATTTGTTAACCAAAGTTTAGAGACACTGTGCCTACTCACCTTATAGTAAAAAAGTTATTTACAAATCTATGTCAACAATATTTCTGATCACCTTTAGTGTCAGTTTCTAAAAGCCACTGACTCTAAAATCCTATTTGTGTTGTTGATAAGGAAATGAAAATACGACATAAGTATAAGCAGGCAGTTTTTTAAAGACAGGCAATGTCTGATTGCTCATGTTTTTTTTTTCTAATAAAAACTGACACTACAAGTGCGAATTTCAAGGTTGTGCTTCAAATGTCTTAGCTTTGCTCTGTTCTTCAAAGTGTTTTAATGTATAATGTAACAGCACCGTGAGGTTCTGTCAGCTTGCGCAGCCCTTTGGCAGAAGCTGTGGGCCAGAAGGACTGGGGGCAGGGAGGGGGGGCAGAGCAGAGTGGCGAAACAAGGTGCAGTGTGATTTTTTTTAAATCAATTTTACCTGAGTTTAACTTCTCACGTCTCGCAGTGACAGCCTTGAGGCCATCATCGTACACGTACACTCTTCGCCTATGACTCAAACACTTGATGCTGCTGCCCAGGGAGGCATGCTAAGGGAGCAAGAAAGTGAAATGTCTCTACAATGTTGCAGAAATGCCAGCCTGTACTAAATGAGCTGCCACTTGGGTCATGCTGAGAGAGGGCACATGAGGTGTCCAGACCTTCCTGTCTTCACAGTCGGCACTTAATTAGGTATCTTGTGAGGCATCTTCCAAATGATAATAAAACAAATGATTCATTCAGTAATCACGCAGGTATATTGGTAGTAAATAATGACAGACAGAACTGGTCTGTTTTTATGCAGACCAACTAGCACTTCCCCTGTGTTTTTGGAGACTTAAAATTAATATGGCAACTTATTCAGAAAGGGCCTCACTTGAAATCACGTTGGCAGTTGTTGTTTTTTTTGTTTTATGACCAATGTTGCACATTATACTTCCAATTAAGATGGCAAGCAAAAATTAATTTGAGTAAAAATGAAGAAAACTAAATGAAAGCCAGTGAGCATTGGCATCTGCTGCCTGAACGATGGGTGGTGCCCTGTTTTAGAAATATAATCTTTACACTGTCGAGTCTCATTTTACTATTCTTTTGTGAGTCTGAGTAAATCATCCAGTTTCCTGGACATTTAAAAAAATGAATTACATTATTAGGAACACTTATTTTTTAGCAAATAGTAAATCTACTATTTTTTGTTTAAATCATGCTTAGTCTTTTAATAACATTGTGCCAAGTATAGACTTTTACACCCCTTATTTATTCCCATGCTGTAGTTCTGCATCTCTCTATCTTTCAGCTTTTGCCTTATTCCTAGTGCCCACACTTACATCTGTGCTAATGGATACTCTGATTTCTTTCAGACCTGGGAGCTGTGGGACCAGCTCAGTGGAGAAGGTCAGACTCAACAGCAAAACATAGAGTCCATAACAGAGAGCCTAAAGGGCAATTTTACACTAAGACGGTGACCACTGGCTGTTTCTCAATTTCTAGTGTTTTAGGAGAGGTTATACCACATCTGAAAATGACAGGGGAATCAACGTGGGCACCTGCTGAGCTTAAGAAGGGTAGGTGGCAAAGGGCACCAAAAATCAAACCAAGGTGCTGGTATTCATGTAAGAAATAAAAAAAAGAGTTAGAGACAACTTATTTTTTTAGAAACGAGGACCTGATTATCTGATCTCCCCCCCCCCTGCAATCAAATGTTTTATTTATTTAGAGCATGATCACTTAATGGGCAACACGGTGGCCAAGGCAATTAGCACAGTTGCTTCCCAGGTGTCCTGGCTTTGGTTTCTGAAGTGAAATACCATCTGTGTGGAGTGTCCATGTTCTACCTGTGTTCATACAGGTTTCTATGTTTTCTGGTTTTCTGGGCGCTCTAATTTCCTCCCCACCTCCAAATTGCTACTAACTTAGTTATTCGATGTTTTGGTACAGTCCCCGTGTGTGCCCTGCGATGAACTGGATGTCCAGTCCAGGCCGCCGTCCCACCTTACATCATATGTTCTGGGATAGCCTTCAGGTTACTCTAACCCTTACCAGGAAAACGTTTCTTTCTTATCACAGATGGAAGATCCTGAGATCAATCACTTAATACGATGGGGCAGACGTCTTGAATTGCCTCTCCTTGTTTGTAATCTTATGTTTTTACTACTTTGCCTGTTTTAGTCATATGTTTATTTTGTGCCTTAACAAGCGGTTAATCAAAATAAATGGTTAAATATCGCATGTACTACACTGTATCCACTGGTTGTGCTTCCTAACAAGATTGGAGCACCGTAGCAAAAGTCAAAACTTCATGAATGACAATGTCTCTTATAAAGCTGGGAACTAAAAAAAATAATTGGCCCAGAGAAAATCTGGCAATACAGATACTGTACATACTGTAGCAGCATTTCTGGCCTTTAGAGACAAAGAATATTGTGTGACTTTTGCTGTTTTAAGTAGTTTGACACTGATTGTCTAAAATGAATAATGATTTTTTTGCACAGTACCTACCGTATATTATTCAATCCTGAAATGCAAATGACATTCTGGAGCTGAGGATAATCTTAGAACAGTGTTGCAATTACCCTACTTATATATTTTGACTCATTAATATGAGCTGAAAGGCACATAACTGGATTTTAGAATTGAATTTTCATCACCCATCAAATGTCCTTTTTATGCAAGTAAAATAAACATATACTGTTTATGCAGATTTATCATTTTGAGCAATAAAACTAACATAATAAGTGGCATTTGTAAGCCCATTACCTACAGTAGCATAACGGAATTTAGCCATCAAGTCTCATTAAACAAAAATTAGGCCCTCTATCATTTTATACAAATTGTAGGAGATTTAATTAGATCTTGCATGCTTGGATTCATACAAATTAGTTGGAATCAGTCTTATTATAGTATGCAAATAAGGACAATGTAATCTTTAATTTTTAAAATTAAGTTGCAGCAGTTCTCATGGAACCCAGCCAAATTCAATTCCTTAACCTTTTCATTACTGAGTTCATTGTAAAATTAGGTCTCTGAATTTGTTCCAAGGCGCTCGAATCCAGGTGCTCCAGAAATGACAACAGCATTTTAATATTTAATCGTTTTAAAGCTTCATTACAAAGATGTCAAGGCAAGTACTAAAACAATTAAACAAGAGAGGAGGTTTATGTCAATATCTACTCAAGGAACATAAAAAACAGCAGAAGAAAAGAATCTCAAAAATAATTCCCTATTTCCTGAATTCCTTTATGCAGAGTTTCTCATCTTTAGCAATTTTTAGAGATTTTGTTGCCATCTTGAAGCTCTGCTATTATTTCACACATTTATAGGACTATGCATGTAGACCAGAGGCTGAGGATACTAAGACCACATTTTTCCTAAGCCCCTTGCAATGCAGGACAATGCACACAACAGTAAGTACGTGCATTAGAGATTCAGCATCTTTCGGAAGTATCTATTTCTGAATGGTAGGTGAAGTATATTTATCTCTGCTGTTCTTCACTAGGCATGTTCAGAGAAGTTAATTAGTTATTTTCTTGTGAATCTCTCTATATGCAACCATAAAAAGAGAAATCAAGAGTGTGCTCACGATGCAATGGGCAAACCAAAAGGGAAGACAGAATTTAGAAATGATTGGTTCTTTTTCTCAACAGTTACTGGATATGCTGTACTTTCCTTTAGAGGGTGAGGGGGGAGACAGTAAATATTTAGCGGTAATTACAGAGTGGTATGGACCCTCTTCATTGAAATGAAATTAGTATTTTCAAAATTTAATTCAAGTTATTTTCATGACACTTTTCAGGGAGAAGCCAATCTCACAATCTCAGAGCAAGAGCTTCCTCAGAGACTAAACCTGCATCATACACCGTGGCAATTAGGCTGAAAGCTCAAGTGCCACATTTGCTCTTTTAGGAAATAAATCTTTGCTGAAGAAATTACTTTTCTTATCAAAGTGAATGTCTGTATATATTATATAATTACATTTACATTATTTGTTACTTTTATCATATGCCATAGAACATACTGAAGGTGCATAAAAGAGCAAGTACTACTGAATTTGTAGAGTTTCTAATGTTTTTTTCTTCATCTTAGCAGAGTAAAACAAAATCCCCATTTTGTTTTGATACGCCAGAAGATAATTAATTTTATGTCTATTTACACTGTTTGCTTCCCAGTTTTCTAATTCCACTTTCATTATTACACTGCCATGTTGAGAGAAAAGTGCATTTATATTCATAAGCCTTTTCTATGCAAAGGCCTTTATCAAAGCTTTATGAATGTAACAGGTTGTATTCATATTAAAGATATATTGTATGACAAGTATATTACATTTACTTCCCTACAAAACCTCTAAGAGGCACTTCTTACGTTTCACTTCACCTTAACAAAATCAACTTGATTGGGGGCAAAATCAGCTTAATTCACAACAGCATGGAAATATACACTACAAATACTGGGACTACTTTAAATACAGGGTTTAACATTTTTGGGTGAAAATGATAAGTGTGGGGGCCGGTCTATACAGTAAATACCTGCTTAGAGTGAATGTTAGAAATAGTTCCCGTGCTGTTACACTAACCTGGGACTTGTGGAAAAGCCTTGTGTGATTTCTGAACAGAAGACACAAGAGGGTTTTCTCTATTATTTTAACTGAGTTCATCCTGCATTTGAGCCATGGTTGGAACACAGTTTTTTCATCCGAAAGCTTCCTAGAGGTAAACATAACAGACTCTCATGTCTGGAGCACTAAGCTGGCCAGAGGTGTTCTCTGTTATTAGCTGATTCCCACATGTGCTTTCACTTTATCGTACATATACTGTAGCTGATTGTTAATGTTGAAGTATTTCTTATTGCTGCCAGAAAGAAATCAGTGGCATGGTATCCTTCATGAATGATGTTAATTATTTTTTCAAAAGTTCAGAAACACAAGGACATAAGAATAGTTACAAATGAAAGGAGGCTGTCAAGCCATAATTTCTCTGTAGCTTGTTTGCTACTGTACTTAGTTGCCAATTGATCCAATGATCTTGTCCGGCTGTTTCTTGAAAGAAACGTCAACATCAGCATAAACAGCAGCCTAAGTAGCTTGTTCCACATTTCCACAACCTTTTGGGCCAAAATGGACATTCTGTTCTTGGTTTTAAATGCACAGAGAATATTGGCATAATCTATGAGCATCTTATTTATGAACATCTTCTTTTTACAGGATAAACAATATATTAACACAATCTATCATCTGTAATTGGCACATCATTAACATTATCTGGCTTGAAAGTCGTGTTGAACTGTTTAAAAATAAATCTTTGGATTGTATCACCCAAAACTGTCATTTTTTTCAGTTATGTAACGAACGTGTTTTCATGCAAAGAAAGCCAAAAATAAAATGCTAAATGAAACTGTCACGATTGTTAAGTTTTCATTTAGACTTCATTTGTTCCATGACAAGATGTTAATTAGCTCCTGAGAGACTCAGTGTTCTGCAAAGATAAGTGATTAGGTTGTGTTCCTGTCATGAAGAAAGCTGTGCTTAAAATGTGGTAGATTGAAATAATTGTGCATGCTATCAGTTTATTTACTGATGGATAAACTGCTGATATGATATTATATGACTTGAGATATGATAGGAAAATACCTTGTCTTACAGTATATTCATATAACCTTCCTTCTATGTCACATTTTGTTGTTACTAAACGATACATAATTTTTTTTATTTTAATACAGTACTTCATTTAATATGTGATTATTCAAACTGAAAACGTCTTTGGGTACAATTACAGAAGTTACAGTAAATGTCAACATAAACTAATGAAGATAAACTGAAATAAAGTATTTTTAATTATTTAGACCTGTGAACTTTGGTTGAAACACCTTTAACAGCAATTTCAGCCAGGTTTCTTTGATAAATCTAAACTTTTCTACTTTTCTCAATGGCTTGGTGCAATTATTCACATTTTTCTTGGCAGGTTTGCTCAATTTCTGTCTTATCCTATTGCTTGGAAATCGCTAATGGAGATTTTAATTCTTTCCACAGATTCTCAGTATGATTCAAGTCGGAATTTTGACTGGCTCATTCAAGGACATTCAATGTCTTATTCTTAAGCCACTCCAGTGTAACTCTGACTTTGGCCTTTGTCATGCTAAAAGGTTAATTTTTGTCCAATTTTAGGTCTGATGTAGTGTTTCCCATAAAGTTTGAGGTACTTTACTCATTCTGCCATACAGAATGTCTCCATCATCTTGACAATCTTACCAGTTCCTGGAGAAATATAACACAATTCTGCCTCCACCATTCTCCAAAAGCTCCAATTTCGTCCTGTCTGGCCACAAGACCACATGTTTGTAGTATCACTTAGGTGCTTTATTTCAAACAACATGTGGAATTAGAGATGTTTTTGTATATTCCTTACAAGCCTGCTTTGAAGCTCTGTAGCTCTTTCAAAGTTGTTTCTTATTGCCATCCCTCTCCAGTTTCCTTCCTGCTTGGTTGCTCAACTAGGACAGTGGTTTCAGCTGAGCCCTTCAGTTACACATTCAACCCCTTAATTGGCTTAAAAATAAGATTAATTTTGTTCATTTTGTTTTGTAAATTTTTCTGTTTGGTCCCAGCTCTTTAACATGTCGGAGCTTTAACTGTGGTATTTTGTGAATGAAATAAAATATCAAACCTGTGACTAGAAACAAATCCATATATTCCACTGATGAAACTTCTTAGATCAAGCAAGGCTTCAATTATTTCATAAATGCTGATTGATTTCATCATGCTCAACGACGACTTATAAAGGGTCTTTGGAATATTTTTTATACACTTCTCCTCATCTGTGCCTTTATTCAGCTTGAACCCTGCCTTTCTTGGAAAGCTCTTTGGTCTTCTTGGTTAAATATGTGCTTGAAATTCACTACCTGAGGGATCTTGCAGAGAAAGGAGTATTTATTCTAAAATCATGTGGACCACTATTCTCACACACAGCGGCTACTCATCTAATTGTGTGGCTCATTAAGGTCATTTTGTGCAACTAAATCAATTAAGTTTAGCCACAGAAACATGTGTGAATACTTGTGCCATTACGACTTTCCTGTTTTTCTTTCATATTATTATCTGTTTACTTTGTTCTTTTTTTGTTTCGCATTTATGAAGTAAATTGATTGTATAACTAGTATTAACGTTTTAAACTTCAAAGTATCATAACTGTAAGCTTTATAGCATTGAAAAGTAAAACATTTGCAAGACTCTCAATACTTTTGCAAGGCACTGACATATAATAACATATAACATATACAGGTATATAAGTTTTAGCATTTTGTCTAAATTTTAGAGATACTGTACAAGTTATTATCTTTGTAGCTGATTACTTGTAATAAAATACATCAGGAGCATCTTATGTTCCTGCAGGAAACCACCACACTGGGCAATGCAGTTTCAAAACAAATCTTAACAGACTGAATAAACAAGTGCTAGAGTATTATAGTCTGCCCCCTGGTGGAGCATTATGAGCATTAAAGAGGATATTCCTTAATGCTCAGAAAACTAATCATGAGCAATCTGTATTACAGCCACTTCAGGAGAGACAAGCATGATTAACGTAAAATCTTTGCCTCTTTTTATTTCAGTGCTTCTGTGAAATATTCTGGAATTGTGAATATTGTCTTCCATGTTGTTTGCTGGCTCACCTTGCTGGTGATGTGCAACACCTGTTTTGAAAGTACTGTTGTTACAGAAGTCTAAAGCAAGAATTTAGATTTGGCATCTTTAATTTACTGTACTTCAGTTTGCTGCATGTTATGTCAACATCACAGTGTGTTTCACGTCATTTCGATAATTATAATCATGGCAAAACCAGACACATTTTGTACTCCTTATAAAGAATAATGAACACCTAACTCTCACAGAGCTAAACGTGATGTCTCAGAAACCAGTTGCTACCACATTACATCACTGCAACCAGCTGCAAAGGTTCTGTCATGTTGCTAGAACCTGAAGTTCACACGAATGAAAATGATCAGTGAATTGCACACCAGGATGAAGCTTACTAAAACAGTTTTGAAGTGATAATGTATACATTAAACTGAAGATCTGAAGTGGGATTTAAAAGGTACAAAACTTTCTCTGCATTCACTTAATTCATGTTGCTAAGGATACTAAATAACAAGTCAATTGTGTCTTCTTTTCAAACCACCCATTCATGATTGATTGCTCTCACTATGCTAGATAGTAATACAGGTGCAATGTACAGTCCTTATGACAGCCAAAGTTTGTTTTACTGAAATACACAGACTGGTATAGTATTTCTATTCTCCATTCATTCATGAAGAAGTGTTGTAATATGGGATGGATTGTTATAGTCTGTGGAAGACTAGCAATTTGATCACGGGCAAATTTGTCAGCACATACTAGTGACTGACCAGTCTGCTGAAACCAGCTCCTTTGTGTCTGGCACTAAGGTTGCAATATAATATATTAATGCAATAATATATCAGTGCCATATATTGTAACACAGCTGAGAAAATGACATGGCACCACACCTACAGTAAGTTAAACAATGTTTTATTGAAATCAGGTTTTCAACTATTATATTCAATGACAAAGAAAATCACACAAAAAAGATTTTTACAGGTATGTTAACATGTTTCATTTTTATCCATTGATTGGACAAAAAATTAGGCACCCCCGCCAAAACCAACAGGTCTGGATTGCGCATGCTTGACAGACATAGCATTTTATATCACAAGGAGTTAAAACATTTTCCAAATCAAAATCGATATCCTATTTGTGCACCAGCGCTGCTTCCCTGAACTTCTTTGTCTTTTTCTGAGAGGCTCTTTATGCACTATGTGAGAGTGCGGAACAGGCTATCCAGCTATGTTGGTGAAGTTTCTTACAAGAAACAGCAAGCTGAGGTCTTCGGATTAATTAGCAAATAATTACCAAATGGGCTAGAAAGGCCAATTGGCTCCCCTTGTTTGTGACTTTTTGAGATTATTACTAACGTTCACGGAGATGGACTGGCGCCGGGTCCAGGGTGCACCCTGCCTTGCGCTCGTTACTTGCCCTGTAGGCTCCGGCTTCCCGCGACACCGTGTGGTATAAAACGGTTTGGAAAATGACATGACATCACTATACATTCACACGAGGCAGCGAAGAGGACAGTGGTGTGAAAGATTTAAATACATGTTCCGCCAGTTCCTCTAGGTTTTCAGCATAAGAAAGATAAGACAAATGAGAGGAGATCATTCATCCCATTAAGCTCAGTTGGTTGCTAGTAGTTAATTGATCCAAGGATCATGTCCAGTGATTGATTGAATCATAATAAATCAGTCAGCTTCTACAACATAGCTCCATGTTGTTCCATGTTTTGGGAGCTTGTTCGAGACTTCCACAATCCTTTGTGTTCATGCTTATTGAATATTTTAAACATACTGTCATTCACATCAGAGTAACAATCTGGGGATTGCTCTGGTTGAGAGATCTGATTGAACTCCTACTCTCCAAACCAACCACGTATTGTTCAGTTTCTAGCAGAGCCTATTGGATTGATATGACATGTCCTAATATTTTGGCCAGTGAGTGCATGGGAATTTATTGTTGTGCTTGAGCACACGTAAACTAAAACAATTTTGAGAAAACCTTTAGCAGAGCTGCACAAACAGGTAACATCACTGCTACATGAAAGCTACTTACTGTATCTCTTCACAAATATTAATGGTGAAAACGTAACCTCTTAACTTCCCAAGTTTCCCCCACATTTATTTTATTTCACATAAGAAACTGCCCTACAGATGGAGTTTCACATAGATTAATACTCAACATCTTCTTTTTGAAATCTTCTTCTTAAGTAACATGCAAAAAATAATATTTACGGATCTGTTTTTATGGCCCCTAGTTAGTAGTTTATATCTTAGGTTATTTCTTTTTTTTACATACTCCACATCACATTGTGTTTGATCAGATCCTAATAATTGAGATAGATTATTGAAAGCCATTTGAAGTTTTTTAGCATATCTCACCTAGCTGAGGGAATGGCAGTCTGACTGTTCCCCCACCTCCACACACGCACGTTCACGAGGAATGAGCTAGGGAGCTGCCTGAGAGTAGATGGCGTGGTGAGATGGGTGTGAAAGAAGTGCACAAAGGCAGAAAGACATATCTCAGGAGCATATACAGTATATATATAGGAGAGTAGAAGCAGTCGAGATTAGGATTTGACCATCTTCTTGAGTTTCTGTTAAAAAAAACATTTCTCTGTTATTGTCGGTGCTGCTAGGAC